CCCCAAAACCCCAAAACCCCAAAACCCCAGCGTAGTTTTGAAAAATTGAAATATTTAGTTACACTAAAGATACTCCATCCCCTAGATCTTCCTCATACTATTTCCACCCAAAATGGAAGCCACCCTAAAAGACCCCAACTGAAAGCCCCATTACTCCTCCTACTGTGAAAACCAAGAAGAAGTCACTGCTCAAGAGGAATATAGCCCGGACGGCACACTAAACAAAGAGGAGTTCGGAGAGTCCGGAGAGACTGAAATTTATGGTGCAGAAGAGGATGAGTGCGAAGAAGGTGAGGAAGTGGAGCATCATAGAGACTCAGGAAGATATCAGGAGGAAGAAGATGAAGGTGAAGATTGGGGAGATAATGATGATTATGGAGGAAATCAGTACTGTGAATACTGAGTTGAGAAGGATAAAGTGATAAAAAGACTAGAGGAGAAGGTATCTTTTGATAAACAAACTTTAACTGACAAAAATAAAAGAATTTCACATCTTCAACAGGTTGTTAATTGTCTGAATAATGGAGAGTATACTCCCAGATGAATGCAAGGTAAGGAAACTTATGACCAACTTAATGAGAAGTTGGAACAAAAACTTGGAATTATTGCTGAATTAAAATGAGAAATCTCTGTATTGAAAAATAATGAAAGCAAAGCAAACTTTTCTCAGCTTAAAACTAATTGGTTATTACGTCAGGAAAAAGAAGAATTAAGTATTTATCCTTAAACTTAACAATTTAGAGATGCATCTTTATAATCTTGAATTAATCAAGAAGAGATTAATACTCTAAAAATTTCAAATGCTAATGAGCAGATTAAAAATCTTACACAACTTAATCAGCAGCTTTCTGATCAGGTCGATAAAGTGACAGAAGAGAGTAAGGAATTTCAGGAATTATGACATGCTAAAACAGTTCTACTATCTTCACTCAAAAAGCCTGCTTTACCTTCAAAACCAGTGATGGTTGACGGCAAATATGATTACAAAGGTACTTTTCAAGTAGTTTTACTTTAGAATTGTTTACACAGATCATACTGAGGCTGGACCAATCCTTAGAATGCCCAATTTCTTTCGCACCGATTACATCTCCTGCAATCTGCCCTTCAGGGAAAACCATTGATAAGAGCGTCTTCATCAAGCTTTCGCAGGGTGATAAGAGAGACCCATTCACAAACACAGACCTCCTCGGAGACCTGGTTGTTAACAGGTAAGGTTTAGCTAATTGCATAGATACATGACTGAAATCATGAGCATTATCGAGGAGTTTAAGACCAAAAGTAATTTTTCAATATAATACACTCGGATTGGGGTTTTGGGGTTTTGGGGTTTTGGGG